TTGAGGTGTATTATTGAGGATGCAATGGGTCAAATATCTAGCAAAAGCAAAGCACCCCAAAAAGTAAACCACCGAGCATTCAAAGCCCCTGTTTCACCCTAAGAATATCTGTCAAATCTGAAGGAAAAAAAAAAAAGCTGTGATACAGGATAGTATTTTGGCAGACTCACAAGGCCAGAAAGGCAAAAAGTTAGTTCTCCCCACCCCCTCCGACAAAGGGATTCTCATAAACCATCCCCTCTCTACTTGTAACCCCAAAGGGTTACACCTTCCAGACACAGGCCCTGGCCTGGACATGCAGCACATCAAGCCACCAGAGGGATCCAAAACCCTCAAAGTTTGAATTTAAATTAAGGTGCTCCAAGACTAGCTGTGCCCCCAGGCACCTGCCAGAAGCAAATGAAAATTCTCCAAGATACCATCATCCTGGGTTTTTCCTCCGGGATTTTAAATCAAGTTCTTTTGACCCCAGAGCCCAGGTTCTTAACAGCTTTACTAAATGACTGTGGAAAAAATTAAGTAGTGTGTGGGAAAGGATGTGTTGGAACACAAAGGTCACATAATCCCAAGTTATAAGCTGTTTGGATTTCTTATCAAAACTTGCAGGAGTGATCAGCCAGCACTGCGGAAACCTCTCCAAGGGCCAGAAACGCTCCTTTTCACTAAGGGGGTCTCGCCCATATTGCAAAGCTCCAATTTTTAGAGCACGAGCTGAAATCCACTGCTAATTTCTCCCCATGGGATTTTATCCCCTCCACTAGGGTCACAAGTTTCAATCTGTCTCCACTAAAAGCGCTTCATATATTTAAAGGCAGGTTTGAGGTTACTCCTACATCTCTCCTTCTTTAGGCCAAACAGCCTTTTTTTCTTTCACTGAAAACTCATTTAATACATTTTTAGCTCCTTAGCCTCATTAGACAGTCATGGATATGGATGGTTCCATGTATTTCTGTCCTTTGTAAAATGGTATCGGGAACTAAACACAATACTCTAGGCATGGTCTGGAAAGCAGTGTCAAGCGAAGATGACCATCAGCCACGTCTTGGACTTAAAACCAATGACTGTGGTGTAACAAACTACAAACACTTTCTTGGACCACCTGGCTGACAGCCAGCTAGATGTGTGTTTCTCAAGATGTGTCACTTCTCTTCATGTTCCAGCCAAACTGGTCTTTGGTTTCCAAAGAAGTCCCGTACTCCCGGGAATTTGTCCATGGCTTTTATCTAGTGGAAACCTCTTCTCCCCACCTGCCCTTCTCACCTCCACCCTCCCACTCCCCTTGTCTGGTTGGCTCCTACTCAGCTCAAACCTAGCCTAAGCCTCAGAATGGCTTTAGGGAAGCATTGACTAGATGCCTCTGTCTTTAGCTTCCAACACGTTTAAACAACCGTAATTAAATATTTACCTCACTTCATTATAAGGTTGATGAGAAAATAATGATTTCACTATATGGCATTTTGCTTAAAGTTGCAGTTTCTAAGATTCTCTCAATGACATAAGCGAGGACTTAACTGTACACAATCACTCATTTAATGACTCTGCCTCACTAAACAAGAAGCTCCATAAAGGCAGGGACTATTTTCATCTCCAACCACTCTGTACTTATGCAAGACCTAGTATTTACCCCACCTTATTAGAGCACTTAGCCATTTGGGTCTATGAAGGCCTAATTGGATCTGTCTTCCCACATACTTATGTCTCACTGGCTCTGTATCACTGCAGACTTTGTCACTCAACCAAGGGCCCCCTCCTTCTGGAAGCCATGGCTGCTTAGGGTTCAAGGACACTGAAGTCCACTGAGTTTCAGATTAAGCAGCTTGACTGACCTCCCAGCGTTTGTCACAAGCCATCTAAAATTGATTCAAAGAAGATTTATAGGTTGGAAAAGCTATTGTAACATCATGATCTCCTGGAATCCACATTCACCTGCCACAGCCACCTACATCCCGTTATAAACAGAAAAGAGGTTAAGAGGTTAATAGTAGATATTAGTGGTTCTGGTGGCCTTTTTTCCTGATAGCCTTGTGACTCTTCAAAAGTCCACAGCATTTTAAGCTCTTATTGGATTTAAGCTTATAGGATTCCTTAGCATCAGTTCCCATATATTTAGAAGTCCCGGGTTCATATAATTTACTAAGTAACAGGGAAATAACTAAGTTTATATCAAGAGAGCCATAAAAATATAGTATTTGGAGGAAAATATTCAAGCCCTAGTTATAAAAAGGCAGTATGTAAACACAGAACCTCCCCACCTTTGGAAGAGAATGTCAAATCCGTCGTTTGGTCAAAGGACAAAAGGAAGAAATAGACTCAAAAGTCTCTTATCTGCTCTCCCAGTTTATTTCGACTGTTTGAATATTATCCCTCAGTATGGTTACTATGTAATACTCGAATGCTTTTCGACATCCTTCATGAGCTTACTCCAAATCTTCACTCCACGGCTGGATAAAAAGGCCATACATGAAATGGCCTTTGACACTGATATGATCTGGATGTGTCCTCAGATCTGGATGTGTCCTCACCCAAATCTCATGTGGAATTGTAATCCTCAGTTGAAGGTAGGGCCTGGTAGGAGTTGATTGGATTGTAGGGACAGTTTCTCATGAATGGTTTAGTATCCTCTTGGTATTGTCCCCAGAGTAGTGAATTCTCACAAGATCTGATCATTTAAAGGTGTGTAGCACCTCCCCCCGTCCTTCTCTCTTGCTCCTGCTCCCACCATGTGATGTGCCTGCTCCCCCTTTGCCTTCCACCATGGCTGGAAGCTTCCTGAGGCCTCCCCAGAAGCAGATGCTACCATGCTTCCTGTAGAGCCTGCAGAACCGTGAGCTAATTAAACTTCTTTTCTTATAAACCACTCAGTCTCAGGTATTTATAGCAATGCAAGAACTAATACAGACACACAGCACTGACCACCAGGTAGACAATGATCTATTAACCACAAGCCTTTGGGAACACATTTCTCAAAACGTTAGGAAGCCACAGTTATTCATTCCTTCTCTCCATATAAAAAGCCTCATTAAAATCTAGATACTGTATCTCTGATCCTCTAATATGTCAAAATAACCCTACTGAAAATGAAATGTAAATCTGACAGACTCTGCTCTTGGTAAACCTATGCTGGCTCTCCCTTATCCACATACTTAAAAAACAAAACAAACAAACGAAACTATGCTTTTAACAATTACTATTTGTTTTCTACTCAGGAGCAATCAACTCAGCAAGTTTGTAATTTCTAGAATGTTCCTCCCCTCTTTGAGCAACCCTAGAGAATGAGTCACTAGAACGTTGTTCAGATTTTCTAAGCACATTATCTTATCTGCTTTTTTCTAAGCACATTATCTTATCTGCTTTAAGTCAGTGGGTGCATCTCAACTGTCTATAAGGCCCCAGCAGGCAACAGAAATGAGGGAATTGGAGTAAGTCATGCCAGAGGCAAAAACAGAACTTACTCTGGGATTAAAGGGGCAATCACGATTCAGCTCCTGCTAAATTGCTGCCAACGTAAGAGCCCAATCACTGCTTCAGAGCTTTCAATTGTTTCAAGAAGATGAAAATACAAAACTTATTTAAATGTTAAATCTTATTTTTAAGTTTGGTAACTATTTTTAAAAGATTCTACACCAGACCAAAACATACAGATGGGCAGAATTCAGTACACAGAAGTCTGGGTTTAATCCCTTGCTTTAACAAATTCATTTAGGTGTCTGTTTAAAAGGGGGTAGGGGTGCAGAGGGATGAGTTAAAGTCAAAACTGGGGCTTCAACCCCCTCTTGAAACTGTTTTTCACTCTCTCCAGTCTAAAATATTACCCCCCTTGACCAAAAGTTAGGCGATTATAAAATTACAAAGGATAAAGAAGTGCAAAATATACTTTTTGTTCTTGCTGTAAACTCGATGCAAAAACACTGATTTTTACTCTTTTTGTATTGTAGGAACAACAGCACATTTATCCTTAGATAAATGACCTCTCCATCTCACACTTTACAAATCTGAGGTAATTCAAGCCCTGTCCCTCACCTTCCTCTGTCCTAGCTAAGATACAAATCACATATGATCCCTCTGCATAAAACTGTCAAATGTCCTTTGCCACATTTCCCATTCCTTTTGAGCCATACTTCCTTTTTGGCACTATAATCTACGGAATCTTGCTTACTTCTTGTCAGCACTTTTGGTTTTCTTAGTAACTGGGTGCACTTACACCCAAACATTCTTATTGTTTGCTATTATTTCCTAGCATTTTAAAACATTTGTGAAAAACATTTTAAAATCATTTCCTAATTTCTGGGCTTAAATTACATTAAGATAGGGCACAGGAAAACTATCTGTATGATATTACAGTGTTAGGTACCTATAATTATGCATTTGTCCAAACCCACAAATGCATAACAGTGAACTCTAATGTCACCTATGGACTCTGGATGATAATGGTGTGTGTGTCAACGTTGGTCCATAGATTGTAACAAATGTCCCACTGTTGCAGGGTGCTGACACTGAAGGAGGCTGGGGAAAGAAGGTATATGGGAGCTCTATATTTTCTGCTCAATTTTGCTGTGTGCCTAAAAGTGCTCTAAAAATATTCTATTTAAAAGGAAAAAAAAAATTCTTAAGACAAAGTCAAATCCATTAGTAAAAAAAAACCGGAGCTAACTTTTAAGTATCCTGCGTACACAGTTTAACAGAGGCACGGTCTTACTATGGAAAGAGTGTTCAAACCAGGCTAGAAGAATTTCATAGCCATGTTCATATTCAAGGCAACCATAATATTCTACTTTGCATTAAATCCAAAGCAGGTTGGGCAACCAGCCTTTTAAGTCACTGTGTCCGCATGCAGGGCATCTATAAGTAGGCAGAATCTAGTGTCCAGCTGAAAATATTTCTAACTTCTCTTGTTCTCAAAACCATGATCTAGCACTTCGGTCCTCTTGTGTGGTCTTCTGTCATAGTGGTCCCACTCATTACAGAGCAGTTAATGAGATATTATAGAATGAAAACCAAGACCAGGTATTTCTTAAATTTATTGAAGAACTCTTAGTTGGGAGAAGAAAGATCACAGGCTTAAACAATTGTAAGATAAAAGAACAATTAATTGCAAATAATTACAAAAGTAATTTCTGAAATTTTTTGAGCCACTGCTAAAACAAAATTTTAGTGCATCTCAAAGTTCGTGTTTTGTTAAGTGAACATATTAAATTACTGAAGAGCAAAAAAGAGTTACTGTTACACAGTACAAGATCTTAATGTAGTAACTGAGCACAGCCAAATAAACAGCTATAATTATTCCAAGCTGCTTTTGCTATGTATCTGGTATATTAAACAAGAAAGTGGATTACTTTTAACACTGCACAAGTAACCAAAGGTAGCAAATCCAGCAATATTAAAACCAGATATTAAATAGTATTCAAACATTACAACAAAAACAAAATAAGAACCTCTAGAACTACAACTCTACCCTATGAAAGGAATGTACACAGATGGTTAAAAAAAACCAATAAATAAATAAAGTGACAAGAGTGACTAATTCTGTATCCACATCTTCAGAGCAGGAATACAGTAAATGAGTAAATGCTTAGAGGAGTTTTGCTGAAAATGAGAAAAAATTCATCTCACTTTAGTATAATTTTTCTAAATTCTCACTGAAGCTCTAATTCTCTTGTGCTGGTGACAGGTGGACAGGGTATTTAAATGCCAAGTATTCTCCCTACACCCTGAGTATGGATGCATCAGTTGTTTAAAATTCTGTGGAAAGTTTCCTTAGAAAAACATAAAATTTAAAGTGATATACTGATGGGAAATTGAATATAGTAATTGTGGAAGAATATCAGCTAAATAATTAAGTAGACATTTAAATGAAGAATCAAGGTTAAACTCTGCATTTGGGGAATGTGCACTAATGTCAGCCTTCTAATATCAAAGTCAGATAAGTAAACTATCTTTCACTTTATACATAGTGCATTTATAAGTAAATTCTCTTACCAGCAACATCAAGCCCTTGTTGGAGCAAAATTAAAGTATTAAGATTTGAATTAACTTACAACAAATATCTGAAGGGGAAGTGGAACATTTTTCAAAGTATAAAGATGTTATCACATATATTCACCATGAATCCTCTTAAAGGTTTTATAATGCCATTAAATTATATCAAACATCCAACAGATATTGTTATTTTCTTCTGTGATTTATAAAGGAAACATTCCTTTTGTATAAATCAGAAATATTTTAAATATCAACCTTAACACCAAAATATACATGTAATTTTAACTTGGTTTAGGAAAACATGAAAGAACTGTCACATTTTGGTGTGAACAAGGTTCTGAAAACCCCCTATCAGAGGTCTCATTCACTTTTTTCCACATATCATTTGAAGGTTATGAAACTGGTAAACGGAGAATTCAGCTCAATGTACATCAAAACTTTAACGGTTCTGAAAAAGATATATTTCATAAGGGCCAAAATGTACAGCACAGCAATATTACAATGTTACAATAGAAATACATCAAGCCAATTTGTAATAAAATAAGAGAGTTGTCTTCAAAAGAACTGTTTGACTATAGAGCAACCAAATAGATCTAGAATATCTTTGGAAAAACCACAAAGTGCCTTTAAAGAAAGTTAAGTTTAGACTATACTTAATTAAAAGATACTGCTCTAAACTCAAAATTCTTTTCTCTATATGAGGAAGTTTGACACTTCTTTTCGCACTTGCCAATATTTAATATTTTTAACTCACACTTCTTTTCACATCTGCCAATATTTAATATTTTACTCTATGCCCCTGCACTGAATTGATGTAAGTGTGAAGTTCCACTATTATTATTACCACACATGCTGATACCTAATAACTGGTCTGTCATTTTGTAGTGGTTAAATAAGCAAATGCTGAACTCACCACAGCTCTAGCAAAATGCAAAGGAAATGAGAATAAGAAAAGTCTCACCTCAGAATGATTACACCATAAACAGAAGTAAACATTTTCAAACACAAAGTTTTACAAAATAATGTATTGTCACTTTGAAAGAAATTTAGAACTCTATTTTGCTGTTGATCAAACCTGTGCATACACTCAAGTTACTAAACACAATTTGATAGATACTTGTAAAAATGCATTCTAAACTTAATAACCAATTAATTCATAATTAACAAGAGCAAACATTCCTAGTCCTAACATTTACAAACCCAGTCCAGTGCAGCCACATCTCAAGTTCTGAAAAGCTAAAGGCAGAAACAATTCTGGTTATACAATTCCTGCATTTCTCCACCTTAAAAAATACTTGAAAAAAACTTCAGGAAACTTTATATTAAGGCTTGCTGTATTTCTGTATCTTAAATTGAGAAAAATCAAAACTTACAATGTTACCTCAAGTTATTTAAATAGCTTTTGGCATTTTTCTTAAAAAGCAAATTTAAATCTTTCACTATAAAACATTTCTATACCACAATTACTAATTCACATTAATGTAAGTGCCCTTATTCCCTATTCCTTGGCAGGTGCTATGTCTTCTACATTTTGTGCAGCTTTCAGGTCAGTCAGTGCTCAGAAAAAAATGAAAATGTAATGGAGCAAAACCAAAGCCCCCACAAAAAGTGATTTATCCTAGATTACAAAATCCAGTAGTGGAAGAACCAACATTTACACACCCAAATACACACACATCCACACATACACAGGACACAGCGGGAGGTGAGAGAGAGTGGTGGTGGGGAGGTGAGAGAGTGGGGGGGGGAGGTGAGAGTTGGGGGAGAGGGCAGAGAGTAGGGGAGAGGGCAGAGGGCGGGAGGAGGGGAGAGACAGACAAAAGCAAAACACAACCTTGGTCCTCTATTCATGTCAACTTGCAGTTTCTGGACACAAACTAGTAGGAAATGTAGAGACCAGAAAGATCATGTCAGAGAACTTGACAAAACGGTGTAGATATGGTGGGGGGGGTGGGGGGATCCCAATTTTTCAACCATATTCTTGGTAGAGAGTTTTTTTTCAAAAATCCAACAATAAAAGCTATTGGCTTCTCTAAATGCATTTCCATATTAATATTAATTTTTAAATTTTCAACATCTTTTATAATTTTTCACTTGTAAGATAAGTTGGGAACCCAAAATCATCAAAAAGAGGAATAAAAATTCTTACTGCACAATCTTTATAGGCGTTTTATTTTAAAGCACCTTTTTAAATCTTAACAGTGGGTTTCTAAAAAGAAAACAGTAAAATAAAAGGAACAAACTGGCAAGGTTAAAGTACTCCTTTACACACACACACACACACACACACACACATCACTTTCATGCCAGAATGACTGGCAGCATTGGCAAATAATGTCATCTGATGAAAGGATGGGTCAAACTATCACTTAGTGTTTACAGAAACCTAAAATACTAATGTTTCTGCTAAGAAATTAAATAGTTTGGGGAAATCAAAAAGCTACCAACAGCTGAATTATGAAATATGAAAATGAAACTGATTTTTAAAAACAGGAAAGATCAAAAATCTGCCTCAATTTTATTTTCTGATGTCAGACTAGTTATTAATTAGATGCCATTTGTTTGCAAAGGAGCAAAATTATAACTCTATCACTGGAACCTATCCCCAGCCACTTCAGTGCAGTTTCTAGCAGCACTATTTGGATACAAAAAGAATGTGGTCAGACAATGCCCCTGAAAACCCCATGGTTAGACCTTCCTTCAAATACATGTTCTTAGGGTCTTGACACAATACACACATGTATAGAAGAATAAATGAAGCTAGTATTTTGACAGATTACAAAAGTATGAACTATATACACCGAGTGATAACCCAAAGCGTTTAGAAAGTTATATTTACTTGCCTCCCAACTGACTGACAATGTTAATATTCACTATTCAAATTTTATCCTAAACATCTTTATTGGCTTGTTCCCCTCCCCAAACAAATACTAAAATATACTGGTTTGGGGTTTGCTCTATGCATTTTCCAAGAGCCAATCAAACAGCGACTTGCATCTCTCCTCACTGGAAGCTTTTTCCATCACTTCATAGTACTGAAGCACACCCTGCAGGAGGTCTCCCACTTTCCATCCTTTCTCTTGTAATTGTTTTGAAAGCTAAGAACGAAAGAAAGACGTGTCAAACATTAACCAAAAACAATTTTATAACAAAGCTTTTATTTTTAGCTGAAACTAAGAATCCTGCTGTTTACAATTAAATAGTTTCCTAGTTATAACAAGGTCTTCCCCTCTAAACCGCTACCCCTTTACCCACATTAAACATTTTCCCTTCTTCCCCTATATAAACACATCTCCTCCAGAGAATGACACTTTGGGATCGCTGGAGACAAAGCTCCACAAACCTCACCAAGCAAATAGTCTGCGTGGGAGTGCAGAGACTGAGTTTCTACAGGAAATTCTTCACCTAACTAAATACAAATGCCACACCCTCAATTAGAACATAAAATAATAAAGACAACGTCAAGCTCAATAAATGGATGTGGATTTTCCTTCCACAACATATAGTATGGTATTTTTCTGGAATACACACTCTAGCCTCAATGATGACACAGCTTTCTAAGTTAAAAAATGTTAATGTTTCAACATACATACATACATACATACATAAATACAGGTTTAAATAAATCCTGTTGTCCCACTCATGACATGTCTTTGTTCACTTCTTTTTCTACTAAGTTCTGTAAAAGCTCTTAAGTTTTGAAAGATCTGTAAAATTCTGAAAAACTAATTTGTGTTAACATATATATGCTTAACCTTTTTAAAAACAGCTTTATTGAGATAAAACTCACATAACATACAATTCACCCAAAGTGTCTTAGTCAATGGTTTTTAGTATGTTCTTCAAGTTGAATGCAACCATCACCACAATTAGAATATTTCTACCACACCAAAAGGAAACTTCCAAAAAAGAAAATTATGCAACAAAAACCTTAAGACTGTAAACTGAAAATCTTGACTAATAAGGTATTTGGCACACAGTAAGCATCTTGTTTAAACTTTTATCGACTTTTAATTATGACAGCTTCTCATATGAATGAAACTGGATTATCAGAGAAAGATATATTATTAGGTACAATTATGAATCAATTAAATACAGAGAATAATTCAACTTTTTCATAGGAACACACACAATGCTTATTAATAGCATCTACCTTTGAGAGCTTAGTGTTATGCCAGGCATTAGACTAAGCATTTTTTTAACATTATATTTAATCCTCATAAACCCCTGTAAGGTAGATTCTATATTCATTTGCATAGCACCGTTAGGGGCAATGAGACAGACTGGTGAACCTGCCTCTGGTTACCCTGCTAGAAAGAGGCAGAGCTGATGTCTGAACCCAAACTGTTGGATACTACAGCCTAAGCATTTAACCACTCTGCCATCACCAGGCATCTTGTTAGACCAACCACATGACAAGAACATCATCTACTGTTAAATGTATACTAACCCTCTATAAGGTAGGTACTTACTAGCATAAACTCCTTATTTGCAGAGTCATGAAAATAAAGTTCTGCAACTTCAGCCTCAGAGGCAATGAGCCATTGAAGAATAATCCTTAGCTGGGGGTCTACCGTGCATGGCTCCATGTCAATATTCGTAATTAGCAGTGTCTTTCCATCTTGCCCCAAACCTAATATTTAAATGTAAACAATATAAAGTAAAACTCATCAATTTAACTCTCAATACTCTGGTTGTCAAGTAGATACAAATATTTTCCCTTTCTTAGGATTCTAATGAATGGTGAAAAAACACCCATCTTTTTCTAACCACACCATAACCTCAACTAAAACTTTTAAAGGGCAAAATAATGTAAAACAAAGGAACAACTTTGATCATTTATTGATTGCAAAAATATAAAACACCATTTTAACGTAATGAATTCAAGTTCTATAAATACCATAATTTGAAATAAATTATGACCAATGGGTTACAGAGAAAATAGAACTATAAAGCTATCATTACAATAACAATTAAAATGAGGCTGGGCATGGTGGCTCAGGCCTATAATCCCAGCACTCTGGGAGGCCGAGGTGGGCAGATCACTTGAGGCCAAGAGTTCAAGACCAGCCTGCCCAACACGGTGAAACCCCATCACTACTAAATATACAAAATCCAGCCAGGTATGGTGGCACATGCCTGTAGTCCCAGGTACTCAGGAGGCTGTGGCACGAGAATCACTGGAACCCAGGAGGCAGGGGTTGCAGTGATCCGAAATTTACCACTGCACTTCAGCCTGGGCAACGGAGCAAGACTGTCTCAAAAAACAAAAATCTCAAATAAAGAAGAGCAGCAACATTTGTGCAGCACATATTCCATCCTAAGTATTGTTCTAAGCTCTTTATATGTACAAACTCCTTTAATCCTCGCAACCACTCTATGACATAGAAACTATTATCGTATCCATCCTACAGGTGAGAGATCTGAGGCAAAGAGAGCCCCAGAGTCCTCCAGTGGGGAAGTGGCTGAGCCAGGACATTTACACAGGCAGTCTAGCTCTATGCTCTTAATCACTCATTCTTCAGACAAAACTGGGAGGAAATGCCATATGCAACCACTTACACCCAAAACCAGATCAGGGAATTTTCTGGTATACTCCAAGTATCAAGATTATCTCTAATTTATTTTCTTTTTTTATGGTACTTTTGTTTTCATCACAAAGAAAGATCCATCTCTGTTGATGGAAAGAATGACTTGTGGGCCAATATCATGCATTTAACATTCCTGCTGCTTAATGACACCTGAGCAATACGGAGTGCTGAGACCAGGACCCCTCCACCCCTTAACACACACCACAAGAGGTGAGCACCAGGACATGCTGGCAGACATCATGCCAATATGTACCAGTAATGGAAAGACTGTTGACAGATGTCTCTGATTCTCTGCTACAGTTTGCAGGCCATTCTAGACCACTATTAATTATTTTCAGGATTTGTGTTGGTCCCTAATTTTTAATTTAAAAGATTTGGTCCACATTACTCTCTAAAAATAAATGTATTATCTTTTCCCTTCCCTCTCTCAAACACTCTCAATCAAAAATAAGTTTGGTACACCACGGTACAAGGCATGGTCTCTGGGCCTTTTTGCAATCCTGTGGAGTTCAGGGGGCTGGAAGCTAAATCACCCCACTGCTTCTCTGCACTGCTGGTGTTTTCTCAGTTCAGGACTCCTGGTTGCCTGGCCTACAAGAACTTTCAAACAGCTCTCTCTTTAGAGAAGCCACTAACAATTAATGAAAAGGGGAGGGACTGACATCCTGCAACTACAAAAATTTTTTTTTTTTTTAAAAGAAGTTTGTTGCCTTAGGATTTCCATAATTTTGAGTCTTTCTATAAATCCAGACCAATCTATCTCCTAATTTACCAATCTCTAACAAACTTAAAGTTGGCTGTAACTTTCTATATAATGAGAAATATCTATAATCTCAAAAGCTCAGTAATGACATATCAACATATAATTAATCTCCTGTTTCTACCTACTCACAAAAGAAATCCTTAACAGCCTGGTTAGTGCCAAAAGTAATCTTTTTCAAAATAAATTTCATATTTATATTAACTTGTATCTTTTTTCTTAATCATTCCTCAGTAAAGCTAGTTAAGCAATTGCTAGTTCATTAGAGAATACTTACCACATGCATTTATACCATGTGTAGCCTTTAGAATAACTGTTCACAGGTGTTACTTGAGAAAAGGCATAGAACTTTTATAAACAAAGTCAACACTTTTTTATTGAACAAGAATGAAACAAATATTGTAGTAGGGAATATCAATATCAAATATCAATAACACTAAAAATATTGCCCCATCTCGACTTTGTATCTGATGAGAAAAACTGACTTCTAGAAGCCCTATATAAAGAATGTCGACTTACAGAGACATTAAAACTAAAAAAATAATAATCTTAAGTCTGAAGATTGCAGCTTAAAAATTGGGATGTGATTTCCCTAAACAAGGTGTTAAACCTATTGAAAATTCAGGTGTCATAAAGAAAATTTCGAGAAATTCTTTTTAGCTATTTTCTGTTTGCCTGCTTCTAGAGAAGCAATTTTTAAAACATCACTAGTTCAAAAACAAGTATCTCAAAAAGTACAAATACTTTTATAAGTGCCACTTTATAGAAGACATTATTGGTATTTTCAAAATTAAGATGAATAAACTCAGATATTTTAACATATGAATTAAGGATTACAAACCATGGTCCAAAACTCTGTGGCCAATGATATCTAGTACTGACATACTTGGAACTATGTTCATTAAGGAAGGATCTGAATATTTTCTTCAAATATGTGTATGTGAGAGTGAAGCACTGGAACTGGGGGAGGGAAGAAGAATTAACTTAGAAATATCTTTTAAACAGGATAAGTAAGAATATTACTGACTCAGCTAAGTTTGACATGAAACCCTAGTTCTATAAGTTACCAGTTTGGAAGGAAAATAATATGCCATAGTTAAAATAAATTATCTTATGAGTAAGAATTTTAGCTTTTATATTTTGAAAATAATTATGTGGAGAGATTATAATTAATTTATCTCAAATAATCAAATAATTCTCATAAAGTATTCCTTTCTTTTTTCTTTTCTTTTCTTTTTTTTTTTGAGTCAGAGTCTCTGGCTCTGTCACCCAGGCTGGAGTGCAGTGGCATGATCTCGGTTCACTGGAACCTCTGCCTCCCAGGTTCAAGCGAATCCTGTGCCTCAGCCTCTCGAATAGCTGGGATGACAGGCACCCACCACCATGCCCAGCTAATTTTTGTATTTTCAGTAGAGATGGGGTTTCACCATGTTGGCCAGACTGGTCTCAAACTCCTGGCCTCAAGCAATCCACCCACCTCAGCCATCCAAAATGCTGGGAATATAGGCGTGAGCCACCGTGCCTGCCCAGTATTTCTTTACACCAATGACAATTTCATTAGTGTAGCAATCAACTAAAACTACTCAGCGAAGGATCTAAAAGTGGACAAACAAAATTAGTTCAAAAATACTGATTTATAATGTTTTACACAAATAACCTAGAGCCTATCTGACAAAAATGCATAAAGACTCTTCTAGGAAACCTTACACAAAAGACATGCCAACACTTTGAAAACCAAATCAAATTACCTTCTACTTCGTCCTCATGCTCTTCATCTTTATCATCTGGTCCATCACTTATGAATAAAATAGCAGAAGTAGTTACAAAAAAAACTTTAATTAATAATGGTATCAAAACAAATTCTTAAAAATGTGGTAATGAATGTTACCATATGACATGTGACATTTAGAAAGGGAGAAATGACAATTAAAAAAGGAAGCTTTGCTTCTCACATCATTTCATGTTAAAATCTGAATTGCAAATGATCCCTAAAGTTATTAAAACCAAGAAATCCTACCTTACCATGATATATATAAGTGCCATGTAATTTCATAATATTATTCAATTTAAAATCATTTAAAGTTGAAATAGTCTACTAATTTAATGTAGCATTTGAATCTCACAAAATGCCAGGAATAATTTGTTAATGGTTTAGCTGATGCAATTTATATATTTTTTAATACAGTAAAAACACTTTTTACCTATACTTTTCTTATACATAAAATAAAATCACATACAAAAAAAAAACATAACAAAAAAACCCAACAGAAATCCTGTAGGAAGCAAGCTCTTTTGAATGAAATAATTGGTAGAATGAAAAATAGCAAGCAGAGCAACACATGCATAATAGTGACACATTTTGCAATTAGATGTCAGTCATATCTTAGCATAGTTGAATTTTTTCATTAGATGTGAATTCATCAAGCAGAATCATGTCAAAATACAAGAGAAAAGCAGGTTGATATATACTGGCATTGTAACCCACATTCTTTGAAGAAAATGACATCATGCATTAGTGGTGACAGACTCATCAGTTTTTAAGTTTCTAGACTGGACCAACCTGTCTGATGTTGGAAAGGATAAATTGTCCTCATACAAATCTCCTTCTAAACCAAGACTGCTCCAGCTACTGCTGTTACCATTACTGCCAGAGGAAGAAAAGAACAGAGCTGAACTAGAAAATGAATAGTAGAAAAGACCTTTGTTTTCCTTGGAACAGCTTCTGTCCTTGATAACTGCAGATGTTCTGAAGCTGTCACAACAAAGGGGAACATCCAGAGTGGAGAGAGACCATCACTGCTACTCTAAACGGGGCCTGACAAGTTCAGAGATTTGGGAGTTTTTTCTTTCTTCTCAATAGATCATGAAAATTATCTAAACTTGTATTTTACAGATTAACAGAATGGCTTTTAGGACAGCAAATGAACGCATGAATTAATAAGTTTCACAGGAAAGTTAATGTCTTAAGACCAATCTTGAACTCTAATTTGTGAAATGCCAATACCTTTCAATTTGGATAAAGTTAAAAAAAAAAAAACAGGTTAATATTCTCTCAGGTCTTTAGATAGTGCAAAGCAGTGACAGGTTTGGGTGAGGGGATGTCGGGGGAGATGGGACGGAAGGCTCTAAGACATAGTCCCAAACAGATCTTTTCTAACTATTTGGGCAAAACATGTTTCAGATTTTAAAATACTATTATGTCAATGATCTTCGTTCCATATATTATGTATAATTCAGTATGTATAATTCACCTCCAAGTAGGTGGCAAATAACAAACATTTTCTTCAGAATACAGCTAGAATAGCCAAGACTAAATCAAGCATTACACTTGTCTAGTTGGTCAGTCACAAATACCACATACAGATAACGTCTTATACTACCTAATCAACTGAAGAAGAAAGCAACTATTTTCTAAAACTGCAGCAAAGCAATTTTTAAAAAAAGCAACCATGTTCAGAAATAAAATTAAATTCAAATTTTCAGATTAAAACCCTCAGCATGCAATTTAAAAATTCTAATCATTTCTAATTATTAAACATTAGTAAGCACATTAGTTGGCAGTGATAAGCAGCTATTTTTCCCAATATTAGGCTAGGCAATTATAAAAAGTAATATTTATACAAACCAAAATTTTGGTTCTAAAAAAGTAAACATAAAATCATTTCATGTACATCAGTAAATGCTGATATGATTACCAAAAAAAGGTGATTACTTCAAGTTCTAAAAAACTTCCAAGCAATCTCAAATAATTTGCATAGTTATATTCACTCTAACATGATCAAACTGTCACAAATCACAATGTATTAGAGAGTAAAAATTAAAACTGAGCAGGGTCTTTTTAACGTATGTTCAAACAAATATAGCTCTATTATAAAACTGTTCAAACCCATGTAGTTCATTGTCAGATAAACTAAAAATAAGAAAATACACAAATAAAGAATGGACAGACAGCTGTGAGCCAAGGAGAAAAAGAAAATTAGTCATCTCAAACACTCTATTTCTATTAATAGAAAGATTATAGCAAAGAAAAAAATACATAAAATTTTACTCATCATAATGATTCTTCCACTTAATAATAAAAATCCATCACCTACCTATTACATAAATATTAAAACAAAAACAGCTAAATGAAGACCAAAAATTCAAATTCTCTCTAATCTTATCCCCCTCCCTCTTTGTGCCTCCAAATGGGTATTTGAAGTCATTCTTCATAAAATGCCACTTCTAACTAGATGACTGTATACATTTTTCATCTAACCAGGACATTTTTTAAATGAAAGGTCTCACCATTAATAATTACAACAGAACAGCCGAAGCAAGCCAAACTATCCTAAGTGGGAAGTATGATCACCCTATATTAACCCAACATTAAAAAAACTTAATTTCTTAAGAGTTTTCCTGCTTCACTCTTGAAACACTACCCTGCTTCCATCATTTTCTTTTATGTCTTTTCATATTTCCTATGTCTAGCACAGGAGTACTCCAGCCAGTGGTATAAGTACTGCAGTGGTCCAGTACCTGCTTATCAAGCATGCAGATTCTCAGGACCCTCCACTGACTTCATAAATCTTCATCTCTGGAGGTGACACCCTGGAAACTGTATATGCAACAAGCATACCACCAATCCTGGATGAGCCCCGCGATCTTTTTCTCTGTGCCAGAACCTTAATGCCATGCAGCATTACATTAAGTCACGTTACAACTGTGGTCAATGGAAACACAGGTCTTTTTCTGACAAAACGCCATTAAGCCAGGTTTGCTCCCCACTTAAGTTCAAATATTAATCATTAATTTTCTGACCTTAAATGCATTTATCCATGTTAAACATAATTATTTTAACCTCAGCCTGATTTGGTCTTTTTAACCTTTGTTCTGTTCATGGGATTCTTTTTTCAGCCTGTGTTGAATCACCCACAAATGGGTATTCCACATCATTAATAAATAATGCTAAGGAGGACAGAACTAAGGACAGAAACTGGTAAGCTGATTCCTTTTTTCTCATCAAATTAGATAACATTCAGCACAGAGTTGTTCAACTGGCTACAAGTCCTCTTAATGCTGCTAGCCTCTACCCACACCTCAGTCTCCCATTTTAACGCCAGGATTTCCTGTCAACACTGTCAACCCCACTGAAATCCTAGAAGCCTGTGTTTCTCAAAATGAGAGAAGAAACTAAATGTTAGTATCCTTTTCTAGATAAAGTTATGGAAAATGGCCAAATCGTGATTTGTGACATTGTCCCCACTTGTTTCTACTAGTTTTAAACACTGTCTTTTTGGACCTAGATTTTAAAAAATATTGATGGTGTATATAGTACCATAATAAACTATGAAATATATTTTACAAAATATTAATATTTCCAGGTTAATCCAAGCATCAAACAAAACTCTCCGAGACTAAGTGTTCTATCAGGTGAAAAGCCATTTCCTTTCCTTATGCTACCTCATTCCCTCTTCCAAGAGTCGCCTTCCCTCCCACACCTTGTTTGCCATTTCCAGGGGCTAAGTTCAACTGATGGTTCACAGGTCCTTTCCACACATGTCTGAAACTAGCAGTATGCTGAAAACCCTTTCCTCCCTCAAGACTCCACTACAAATGGTGTCTATTATTTCTAGTTATCAGTTAATGTGGATAAAGAGTTATAGAATTTTACAGGTCAGAAAGGCCTTTAGGTAGAGGTTAAGACTATAAGAAACAACTGTCTCATAATTAACAAAATATTTCAAACACCACTGTTATGAACAAAGTTAACTAAGAAAAGTTATATATGAGGTAAGTGCCTTGTGCTACACAAAATCATATTTTTATAATGGCTTTGACTTATGTATTTTCAATCATTCAAGTATAAGTGTTCCAGGTCATTTTGTTCCTAACAGCAGGACAAGTAAGGACTCTCGCCCCACCAAAAAGATACTATTTCAACTAATATCAGGAAAATTACAGGGTTATTTTGATGCCTTTTACAGATAACTGTCCTTTTTCTTGTTCTTTAAAGAAAAAAAAGGACGCTTTTTAAAGTGAAAAAAAATATTTTCCTCAGAAGTTCATAAAAAGTTCAGGAGAAGCTTAAAAGGAATAAATTAAATGTATGCAATATTTTTCAAATCAACTACTGACACACCCAAATAAAATTAGCTGGGCTACTTACTGTATTAAATAAGTATTAAAAACAATTAGAAATATGTTGTGAATAATAAAATACATGTTGAAAGTAATAGCATATTTTCAAATTTAGAATTTTAAAATAATAATGTAAATTTATAGCTCACTTCTGAGATCTGAGGACTGAAATTACACAATTATATGCAAAAGTGTAGTTACCTTTCACTGAGATGATGAAAACTGCTGCTTTCATCTTGGTGTTCATCTTCAAAACTTAAATTAGACCAGCTACCAGTGCTGTCATCACCAATACTGAGGTTCATCTGCTGGCTACCGACAGACTCGGCTGACTGAAAGTCTTCTATTTCTTTTGAACTAAAAAGAAGAAAAAACAAAAAAAAAATCAAATTGAAAGCATCCCAGATACTGAACTTACAAGACTATCAATTTGATGATAAAGATGACAAAAACAAGAAATGGTATTCAGAGTCAGACCAGTGGCTCGTGTAATCCTTTATTTGAGTCTGCCAATAAAGAGACTGTAGGATAGAGTATTAATTTCAAAGATAACTGAGGTACCCACCAACAGCCATAACTTAGTTAATCTCCAGTGGATCTATCCCTAGGGCATTATTTCTCTAAATTCTATTTAAAGCAGTTCATTTTTCAACTGAGATACTACAGGGAGTACAAGTTCCTAAGTTTATCATCTACTTTGTAAAACAGTACTTTTATTTATATTAAAGGAGTCTCTTTCTGGCTTTAAGAACAAAAAAGTAGTTCAAGAAATTCTAGTATTGTCAATCAAACCTGTATTCAGATTAACCAAATCTCTCCAAGATTTTGAGCACAGATCATATATGACCCCTTTCATTTTTCTCAATAAGAGGCATTTATACTTTTATTCCATCACCACAAGAAAGTCCATTCACTGCTCAACTATTTTAATTGCCCCACTACATTTTATGTTCAACAAAGTAGTCCAAAGCGATGTTTTCATAAAAAGAAAAAATGTCAGTCTTCTGATCAAAACCTTCCAATGGCTTCCCACCAATCCGAATAAGAGCCCAAATCCTTAAAACATACTGCCTGTCCCCTCTTACAACATCCATCTGAACTCCTACTGTTCTCCCTGGTCCACTCCTCCCACTTCAGCAACACAAGCCTCTCTGTTGTTTCCCAAACACGCACAGTCCCACCCCTATGCCTGGAAATCTGTTCTCTGTGACTCCCACATGACTTATTCTCACTTCGCCTTTGGTTTTTGGCTCAAATATTACTTTGCCAGTATTGCTTCCCCTGCTACCTATTCAAAACTGTAAACCGCCACTGTCACCACCGGCACTCTCTAATCCCTAACTCCTTACCTTGCTTTATTCTTCCCCCAAAGCACTTATCAGTATGTGTCATACTATGTATTTTACTTACCTATTGTCTTATTCCACTATAACATAAGCGCCAAGAGAATGCAGATTTTTGCCTGTTTTACTTACTTCTGTATCACAGGGCTATCCCCAGAATAGCCCCTGAATTGCCCCCCATTTTTTCAGCTATTCTAATTTTGTAAGATACAGAATGATAATGAGCATTTCAAGCATAGGCACATTATAGTTTTGAACCATAATAGATTACTACTTTGTTTTTTTTTAATACTGTTCCTAATATGTGCCACATTCTCATGGTTTTTGGCTGAAATGACCCAAAGGATGAGATCCAGAGAAGAGTTTTTAATGACCGTGAGGTTATACTGGCTCGGAATGATAGCTCAGAATATAATCGTTTTGTTGGCTAAAAATGCACTACCAGCCAGGCACGTGGCTCATGCTTATAAACTCAGCACTTTGGGAAGCTAGGGCGGGATGACTGTTTGAGCTCAGGAGTTCAAGATCAGCCTGAGCAACACAGTGAGATCTCATCTCTACAAACAACGAAACAACAAACAAAAATTAATAAAAATGTACTATCACATAATTTCTCACTTGCATTCACACGCCACTTCTCTGTTCATTATAGTTTGTGAAATATTTATGGTCATGTTCATGAATCAAACAAAAAAGGGACATCAAGTGAAAAAGCCCAAATAATACCCCTAAAGAATAATCCATCTGAATGAATCTCTTTTCAAGCTTGAAAGACAAATTTAACTTTAGAAATAAAAAATGTTAAACAGTAAACTCTACACACTAGAGTCCACTTCCCTTAGTCAGTACTTACAGAACCCTAGCACAATTATTAAAAAGAGAAGCAGGAAAAGAATTATTCCAGCCTTAATAAAAAGCTGAAAGTGGGCAGCACTAGCTTACAAGGAAGAACTTTAGGGGCCTATCTACTCACCCAACTCTAAGAAGGAAAAGTGGAAATTACTGAGAAAACCAATGAGAAAGGCATTTGCTAGCCCCTGAGAGTGATGTCTGAAAAACTTCAGAGGACAGTCTCTTTTCCTCCCGTGAGGCTGGGAGGAAAGGGGGATGGGGCCATAGGGCAGACAGGACTGGACTGAGAAGTAAAAAGTAAAATAGCCTGAAGCAACCTGTAAGAGGAAAATTATTTCAATTGTTAAAAGGCCTTATTACCTATTCATGAGAATATTTATTAACCATTTATTATGTTTATCATCATACTAGGAACTGGTATGTAGTGAACAAGAAAATGTGGATCTAGGACAAGGTTCACAGTTGTTTTCTATAAGGGGCATGATATGGTTTGGCTCTGTGTCCCCACCCAAATCACATCTCAAATTGTAACCCCCAGGGAGGGACCTGGTGGGAGGTGACTGGATCATGAGGGCAGCCTCCTCCATGCTGTTGTCATGACCGTGAGGGAATTCTCATGAGAGCTAATGGTTTTAAGTGTCTGGCAGCTCCCCCCTCTCTCTCCTGCTGCCTTGTGAAGAAGGTACTTGCTTCCCCTTTGCCTTGTGCCATGACTGTAAGTCTCCCGAGGTTTTCCCAGTCATGCAGAACTGTGAGTCAATTAAACCTCCTTTGTTTATAAATTACTCAGTCTCAGGTAGTATCTTTATAGCAGTGTGAAAATGAACTAATACAGGTCAGATAGGAAGTACATAGGTACTGCTGGTCATACAGCCTCTGTCCCTACTCAACTCTGCCATTATAGCACAAAGGCAGCCACAGAAATATGTAATTGAATGAGCATGGTTGTGTCCCAATAAAACTTTATTTATAAATACTGAAATTTGAATTTCATATAATTTCCACGTCACAAAATATCATTTGATTTTTTTTCAACCATTAAAAAAAAAAAAAAAACATGAAATCTGTTCGTAGCTTGCAATCCATACAAAAACCACCAGTAGGCCACATTTGGCCCACAGACTGTAGTTTGCCAACCCCTGGTCTAGTAGAAAGAAGGCTGCCTGATTACGGCAAATAGAGACCTCTCCTAATTCACCAGAAACCTACAGCATCTCTCATCTCAAGTAGATGCTATAAAGCAACTGGATTCAAGAATCCTGGTCAAGCTGGATCTCCCTATTTTAAGATGGATAAGAAAAGAGGCAGACCATGTCATGGCTTTGACAGAAGCTACTCAAAAATCTGGAATATCATGTGACTCAATTAAATTCCACCTCAACTTAAAGCATTTTCTCTTTCCAGCAGGACTTACAAATATCATCCTATCAACTAATAACACAAGTTGGTTCTGATATCTTCTCAGGGACAAAGAAGGTTTAAAGTGAAAAACTGTAAGTTGTTATTAAAGAATCACTGAGCATGGCTGGGTACAGTGGCTCACGCCTGTGATCCCAGCACTTTGGGAAGCTAAAGTGGGCAGATCACCTGAGGTCAGGAGTTCGAGACCAGCCTGGCCAACTTGGTGAAACCCTGTCTCTACTAAAAATACAAAAATCAGCTGGGCGTGGTGGTGGGTGACTGTAATCTCAGCTACTAGGGAGGCTGAGGCACAAGAATCGCTTGCACCTGGGAGGCAAAGGTTGCAGTGAGCTGAGATTGTGCCACTACACTCCAGCCTGGGCAACAAGTGTGAGACTCCATCTCAAAAAAAAAAAAAAAAAAAAAAAAAGAATCACTAAGCACAAGAGATAACTACTGAAAATAGGACACTGTAGGACCACCAGAAAGAACTGTCCCCTTAAATCGTGAACTAATCAAGAGAAATGGTGTAAGTATGTAAAGAATTTTCGCTTTCTTCCTCAGAGCAGTTTGATTAAACCATGGTCTTTATAAGAAAACTTACCTTGTGAATGAAGAAAGGTGTACAAAAATTTAGTCTCAGAATAGTAAATTAATATGGTAATATTCTACATTTACTATAGGATAGTCCCCCTTTATCCCTGGGGGATATGATCTAAGACACCCAGTGGACGTCTGAAACTGCAGATAGCATCAAGCCCTGTACATACCAGGTTTGTGGATCTGATAACTGAGATACCTTCTAAGTGACTAACAGGTGAACAGCACATGCAGTATGGATAAACTGGACAAAGGGGTCATTCACATCCCGAGACGGCGTGAGATTTCATCATGCTACTCAGAACATGCAACTTAAAACTTATGAATCGTTCATTTCTGGAATTTTCCATTTAATATTTTCAGATTGAGGAAAGCAAAATTGAGAATAAGGGGGGACTACTATATAAAATTCTCTAGCAATTTATTTAATTCAACTTTACCTACTTCATAGCTCTATGAACTTGGATAAGGTGATTATTTTCTCCAACTCTCATTTTCCAGCTCCCTAAATGGATAACACCTTCCCTCAAAAGGGATCAGGGGACCAAAATATATAAAAGTCATGTGTAGGATATGAAACAATACATAAATGCAATAGGGAAAATTTTTGTTTATGTAGGGTTAAAAATAATCATTCCTTTATGAACAGGACCTAAGACATATAGGATCACATTTAACTTTTTCATTTATCATTAACAACCAAAGGAAATGTGAAACTTACCTGCTAACAGCATGCCCAACATTTGTGACAGCTGCTGTCATGATTTCTGTGGCAAGGCTTTCAGCAAAGCTGGCACCCTCCTGTCCGATCCCACTGTCGGCTGCCAGGCTGACACTGCTCACCTCTTGCTCAGCTTTTTCAATGGCTTCAGCAACTATCTTCTCAGCAAGCACTGCCTTCTTATCAAGATTAACATGAATCTGAGGGACATTGAGATGAAAAATCCTAGATTTCTGATAGTGGCTGCTAAATTTTGGATTAGAAGCTGGCTTACTACTGGCGAGAGAACCCTGTCTGAAAAAGTTCTGAGATGAATTTCCAGTGCAATTGTGGAGTTCTTTAAGGTCACAATATCTGCAAGCTTGACCTGTAAGAGGTGACAACTTTTCTGCATAAGTGACCCTGTCTGCTGATTTTGTGGTCTCAGACACTCGTAACACTGTAGATCCTAGAGTTAGCTCTAGAGTGTCATCCACTACTTTTTTGGCATACTGTTCTACAGCTTGAACAATACTGTCTCCACAACCATATCCATTTAAACTGCCAGTGCTGTGGTAAAATCTGTGACTTTGTGAGGAAGGCTGAAGAGACTTAGGCAATTCTGGTTTAACATGACACTCTTTATCTCCTTCACATCCGGATTTTTGGAACAAGCAAGAATCTGTTGAGGATTTTGGTAGGCCAACTAGAGAGGCTGTCAGCTCTTCTTTAGCATCTTTTGTTATGCTGTGAACAAAAGAGGCTGAAAAACTACACAGTTCAGAGCACTCATTTCTATATGGATCCAGGGTCCTTTCGCAAGTTTGATTTTTACAAAAGTAATCTTCATTTCTTTTACTTTGTCTTTTTTTGTCTGCTTCTTGGTGGTGCTCTTTATTTGAAAATATTAACAGTTCGTTTGTTTTCACTTGTGAACTTGGCACAGGGAACATTCTTGAATTGCACTGCACTTTGGTTGTCTTAGCTGCTTCCTGTAATCCTGATTTAACAGATCGGTAGGCAAGTCTATTGGCATACTGATCCATTATCAACTCAATATTACCACCTTCTTGTTTTAGTATCTGAATAATGTGACCTGCATATTCGTCTGTCACACTTTCACAGCTGGGATACTTATACGTCAGACCTGACATACAAGAACTTGGTGGTAATGAAAGAATAAACGGATCTACTTCTCTTGGGTGCGCTACAGCCTCTATATCCAACTTCTCTTCTACTCTATAATCTTGGTCACCATCAGCATAACATCTGTTCTTCTTTTGCTTGAAAAGCATACAACTTCGAACTTTTGCTATTTTCTCAGCTTCTGTAATGACTTCTGCTGCCAGATCACCTGCAAAACTGCACAATGTTTTCAAATTTTCATCTGAGGGGTTTAAGAAAGTAGGTGACACACTTCTCTGACTTTGCACATTTAAGCAAGGGCTTTTAACCTTGGGTTCTTGAATTATTTTATTATCTAAATGGGAAGCTGCCATTTCAGTTGCAAGAGAAAGGATGTGTGTAGCTAATGCTTCTGCAAACTGAACCTTCTTCCCTGAGTGCTCTGACTTCACATCCACTTCAGGGAGCTCTCCATTTTCACTACTCTCAACTTCTTCAGAAAGAGATCGCATGAGTTTCAACATGAACTCTTCTTTTTCTATAGTATTTTGTTCATTCTCAGACAAACTACCAACAGATGAGTTGTGTGGAGTAGAAGGTGGTGTAGCAGGTGCAAACTCTTTGGCTAATTCTCCTTTGAGCTTTTTTGTTAATTTCTTGATATCCCATTCAGAACTAGCCTGGGATGGTACTAGAGGAGTTGATGGAGGAGTATCAGGTATTACATTTCCATCTCTGACTTTCTGTTTATCTTCCACATGCAAACCATCTACACAGGTAAGTGCTGTAGATGAGAAAGTATGTGAATGAGGAAAGGGGTTTTCCTGTCCAAAAGACAAAGACTCAAGTGATGTATTATTCAAGTTATGCTTTTTCAGTGGTTGATCCTTAGCAGGTTCCTTCAAGTCAGATTTCTGACCTGTCACAGCTGGACAAGATGGCAGTGTCTCTAGGGAGGATCCATGAACCATAGAAACTTTACATTCTGGAACACAATCCTTTCCAGCTGAAAGTGAGCAGTGAGTTAAGTGATTGTGAGAGCCAGGAAATTTGGGAGACTTTTCTGGTGTCAACTGTGATTCTTCTCCAGAAACAGGCAAGCTTTCCTTGTATACTGCATTTTTATCTATATTTGGGATCACTGATTTGCTCTTATCTATGGAATGTTTAATAATAGATTTAGATAACTGGTCAGCAAACATGTCCTTATTGCTACTAGCTTCACTGCATTGCGGCACTGCCTGACCACAGTGGGAAAATGGAGGGGTTTTCCCCTTTATTGATTTAGTTAAATAATCTGTACGTTCATCAACCATTTTTGTAACTTCCGATGATGTCATTGACTCTAAAGTTTCATTTACTATCGTATGCACCATTGCTGCAGAAAAGTGGCTAATAATTGCAGGATCACTTGGTAATTTTGAGGAACTCTGCATTTCAAGATCACCATTAGTTGGTTTAAAATCATTCTGGTTACCTGGATTGTGTTCTGAAGGTAAACAAATATTTCTGAGACAAGCTGCTGCTTCTTCTCTGTTTTTTGTGGCAATATGCACTTGGGTAGAATCACCACTTGAATTACTATCATCAGATGACAGATGAGCCTTTGCCTGACACGCAGTAGATGAAATATGATATGGGAGAAGGGCACTTCCTGCCAAGGGCACTGGTATAGAAGTAACAATTCCAGAAGTACAAAACAAGGCCTGCTGCACTGTGTATTCCTTTTTATGTTCCTGCATTGGTTTTGTCACCATAATTGCTTGATTGTGAAAAGAAGGGGAAAACGTGACAGCCTGTGTCGATGGCACTACACTTTCTGCACTCACATACTTGATATTATCCGTAGAGACACTAACTGCTGCCTTTGTTGTAAAGGTCACATCAACTTGTGACAGCTCAATGAACGCTTCCTGTATTACAGATTCAGACAAATCTTTTGCATATGACTTCACTACTTTGTCTTCAAAGTCAAACGACCCACACCGTGGAGATGCAGGCGTTTGAGGATACGAAAACTGACACACTTCCATGATGCCTTCAAAAACAAGCTCTTCAGCAAGATCTGCAGCAAACCTAGCAACTGTGTTTGTGAATATCTGCTTCTTTACATACTGTAAATCTTTTAAGGCATTTGATAAAGCTTCACTCACCAAAAAGTTAGCCAGGCCACTAATGGCACGTTCTTTTAGTGAAAATGCACGCTGCCTTCTCAGCTCATTAAATGCCATCTGAAAAACAGATGATGTCAATTTGATGGCTAAGTGGCACAACGCATTGGTACATGAAGAGACTCCTTTCTGTAAGTCTTTAAACGCACTGCCAAAACTTTTTTCCACAAGATCTGCTGCAAATTTTTGAATGCTATCTTTAATCATTATGGATTTATTTTTAGATTTATTTATTTGATCAAGGTTTCCATGCTTAAAAGTTACAGTTTTATTTTCTCCATGTTTAATACTGATAATATTTGATAGGGCATTAGTGTGCTGAGTACGAAGAACTGAGCCTAGTACTTCACATGATACGTTATTTGCATAATCTTCATAGGTGTAATAAATAGAATCAAGATTTTCGTGAATCCTATCTCCACCAATATCTGTCTGGCAAAAACATTCAGCTGGAGTACAGCTTCCAAGAGGACTAAAAGCAGAGGATCGAATAGGACTAAATAAACCACTATCTTCCCCCGAGGCCTTCACTGGGCGAGGAGAATCCGGAGCATCACACAGGTTACCATATGGAGATTCCGGTTTACGAGGAGTTGGCTTTCTAACATTAGCTGGGAGAGCTGGACGATCAAACTTGAATTTTTGAGGATTCATACATGATTTTCCATGTTTGTGCCCTTTCTTCTGTGATGACTTCCCTATGACAGGATCTTTATTAAACAGGTAAGTCTCTAAAGTTTGTTCTAGTTCATCAAACTGATCAAAACTATCAAAAAATTCACTTACTTCTGAGTCTGAATCCTCTATATCATCTTTCATCACAGGAATTTTAGGCAGCTCAAGTTTTGCTTTTAAGCTTTTTTGATATCCCTCTTCATCCAAGAAAATAACAGGACTTGGACTTGAACATTCTGATTCAGATGAGTAGGCAGGAGAAGACGAAAAAAATGTTTTCTGTAAATCACTATCTTTATCTGAAGCATTAGATGACCTATAGAAACTCCTTTGGGTCCAAGGCTCTGAAATGGATGTTGTGACTGAAGTTTTCACAGAAGGTAGTTCTTTAGGTCCCAGGACATTCACTGAGGAAGTTGAGGGTTTAGCTAATGACTTCTGCTGTCCAGAGCTAATGAGAATCTTTAAATCATGGGTTTCTAAATGATGACCAGTAACCGTCTGGGAAGCAGCATCACACTGGTTCCTTAGCGCAGTAATGTTCATTCCTATCGGAAAAGAAGGAAATGGTGCCATTATTCTTGAAAAAACTTTTTGGAAATTAATTTAAATCCATGGAATAAACTGACTTTAAACATATAATATTTACGTGTTTCTAAACTATGTTGTTTAACAGAAAGATTCACCCAAGTAACATTTGAAAGTAAATATACTTTTTATAAAATAATTTCAGTTTACTCTATGTCTAGGGATACCTGGTCTATGGGATGTTCTGCATGCTGTCACGCATGTTAGAAAAATTACTGTGGAGACTCTCCCAGCTAACTCTTCCAAAATTTGAACCTAGGAATGACAGCACCAACTGAATAAAACCTGAAATAAGCAGAACTGAAAACTAGATTACAGTGAACTTAAAAATCACAGGGAATTTCCTCAGGTAATCAGAAAAAAAGTTAAAAGGTTTAAATTAAATCAAATCTCAACATAAATTTCAATTGAACAAGTCTGCCTTAAAATTTTCAGAACTGAAAAATTTTAATTCCCTATTTTAGGAAAAAGTCTAATGAAAAACAAACCATCATTATACGGCTTTGAAGTCTCTTCCTCTTCTAAGTGCTCAAAAGCAGTGACAAAGTCATCCTCTATGGATGACACGGACTGGTTAGTGTCATCATCATCTTCATCAGTGGTCTCAAGTTGGTGCTTCTGATGCAAGAATGTATCCAAGGTGTACCTTATACCAGTAGCATATTTACTTAGGAGACTAAAGATAAAATCAATCCTAAGTTTTGGTGATGTAGGTGACACTCTCATGACACAAAGCATTCCAGAAGGATGACTCTTGGGAAAGATAAAAGATAATAAAAACAATTTTAATTTCAAATACAAAACATCATGAAGTAAAGCATAGATATAAGACAATCTCAGAGGAAAAACAAACAAGAAATTCATGCATCCTGAAAAGCTCCTTGGTTTTATGTTTATTTCTTTATTCTTTTTCTACATTTTTCACTTTCCAGTCTTTTCTCCCATCTTCTTTTATCCAGGTATTCAAATTCTACCTAGTCTCCTGACATGTTATAAAACGTACTATCTATCCATTCCTTTGAGCAATTATGTTTTCCTGTATTACGGTACATTCCTGTGATTCTCCTGAATCATTCACCTATCTCACTAACTGTATTATAAACTGTTTGGGGGCAGCAACCAAGTTCTATTTTCTTTTATTTTTAATCCCATTTTCCTGTAGTTTCAGGTATGATGCCATCTTCCTTCCTATCACAATTTTTAAAAGTTCACTCTTTTTATTTAAATTTCCCTAGTATTACAACTTACAATGTTTATAGCTTTAAAAATACAAGTCACCAGCTTTTCCCCCTCATACTATTTTTTCCAAGTAAATACTGATGAAATGATTTATTTAAAAAAACTAGAAATCAAATATAATAGCTTATCACCTCTTATATCCTAGCAAATAAAGCAAAGTAAATATGAATAAAGAACATAACTAAGGAAATGAGGCAAGCAGTTCTAGTTTTATTGGCAGACCTTATAAAGAACACAGCAGTTTTTTTAAAACGAAAGTAAGTAATCCAAATTTTAAACTTTCTGGTTCAATTGTATATGTCTTACCTCTTAGAATGCAAAGCATTTTCTCTGATGCATTATCAACAAAATCATACTTGGTAAAGAACTAAATGCTGAATATTATAAAACTAACCACCTATAAGAAATGGTAACATTTTTATTTATAAAGAACACATCAGATGTCCACTTTACATGGAATTTTTTAAACCAGAAAATGAACTTAAGTACATTCTCTAAAACATATAGCATAACATGTGTATAAATTTGAAATTGGCCATAATAGGGAAAAGTCACTATAGCTTATACAAAGGTATAATTCAAGAAATCCGAAAATAATAAATTTTCAGAAAAAAATAACGTACTTGCATACCATCTACAGAACTTCACAGTTGAAAAATATATGATCAAAATTATTGTATCCTTCAGGGATGTCAATGCTTCATGAGTTAGATTTCTTATGAATCATATTTCCTTGAGACACCATTTAAAAAAAATAAATGTCATCCAAGCATTTAAAAGTTTAATCACCTTTATCAAACATAGTAAAATTTGCCCTAAAAATCTCATTAGAAATTATCTACAAAAGTTACCTGATTTAGAGGATCACTGCTTATATCTGATGGTTTATTTATATTCTTCATACAAATAATTTCATTTTCATTTAGACTGCAGAAGTGGAGTGAATTCAGAAGATCTGGAAGTTCCAAAGAAACTGCAGCTAAATCCTAATTTAAAATAATAACAATAAGTAACACTGTACAGTTGTTAAAGTTCCTATAAGGTGGACCCTATCCAAAAATTGTAAGGTCTACTGGCTAGGAAATTTCCTGGTTCATAATAGTTAACATCTATAGTTTATTATTCACAGATAATTTTTCAAAAATTCAAAAATAAAATATACTAAAATTATTATTTATTTTATTATTTTTTTTTTTTTGGGACGGAGTCTCGCTCTGTTTCCCAGGCTGGAGTGCAGTGGCGTGATCTCGGCTCACTGCAACCTCCACCTCCCAGGTTCACGCCATTCTCCTGTCTCAGCCTCCCAACTAGCTGGGACTACAGGCGCCTGCCACCACACCGGCTAATTTTTTGTATTTTTAGTAGAGATGGGGTTTCACTGTGTTAGCCAGGATGGTCTCGATCTCCTGACCTCGTGATCCGCCCACCTCGGCCTCCCAAAGTGCTGGGATTACAGGTGTGAGCCATTGCACCTGGCCAAAATATACTAAAATTATTAAATACTGGCTATCCCTGTAGCCTTTAAAATGTATTAATATCAAGCTATAAAAAATTTTACAGGGTACCTAACACATCCATGGCAATTAAGCATTTAATAGTTTTTAGTAATGTCAATGTATAGGTCTTACTTAACTTTATGAATTTTTTTTCATACAAAATTTTTGGCTAGAGAATGTACATCCTAAAAACTTGTTTTTAACCCCGTACAATATAATCCGTTTTTCTGTCTTTCCTCTCCAAGGTATTGTATTAGACTTTAACTGATAATGTTAATAGAGATTAAAGGAAAAGAAAATTGCTTTTATTTCTTCTTCCTGTTTGCCCTTTATACACAAATATTTTACCCAGCTAAAGAATTATTAAAGTCTTTGACCCTTTGTAGAGTACTTTCCTTTATAAACATGGTTTTACCAATAACTCTTACAGGAGAAGAACATTAAAGAAATATCTTGGAATATTTCTCTTTCCAGCTATATATGTTCTCAGGAATATATCCTCTCTTGTTCCTTCTGTCCAAATTGTTTCCTTCAAGCAAGGCCACAATCAAAATATACAGCAGAGTTTTTGTCCATAATCACCTGATATGCATTATTCAGAAAGAACTAAAAAATGTTGTTTCTCCTCTAGGAGGAGACACTTTATTGCCACCAAAGGAAATACGTAGAAATCACAAATTTTTAAGAAGCTGCATGAGGGAAAAAGAAAAGCATGCCTATCACATCTACAGGAACTTCAACCACTGTTTATGTAACTGTGAAGCTTTTCTTTGCTGATCCCAATCTCAAACATCAGTCCCTCTGTTAATAACTGCCTAAATCAAACAGGCTACATTTTTGCATTGGCCAATTTTCACAAATCTTACCTTTCAAATTTAACTCAATCTTAACGAAAATGTTTACTGTTAAGGTCAAAATTTTGAAAGCCATCAAAATAAACAAACAAGTCATACATTCTATATTATACACAGAATGGAGAAATCAACCTGCGGTTTGCAACCTTCTCAGATAAATGACTTTTGTGGTCAAACCTAAAGCTGATTTCCATGACAAGAACACTCAGTAAAAATGCTAAAATTGACCATACCTGTACATGAGTGGCATCTGTCTCTTCATTAAAACCCAGAAATGTGACCTGAGTAAAGAACAAATAAACCACCATTAATTTGAATTTTTAAATCTTTCAGGCTGGTGACAGAGCTGAGAAATAGGAAAAAACCGACAAAGCATTAAAATGTTGTCTGCCTTGAAAAGGATTTTTTTCAAAGATGACCCAAAAATATTTTTCACCAAAGATTGAGCTCCAAAATGCAGTTCTTGAACCTCATCCATATCTCCCTCAGTAGCAAGTTCAATCAATTCTAACCCCAAAACATATTTCAAATACATCCACTTCTCTCCATTCCCTGGCCACCCTTCTCACTTACATTAGTACAATCCTCTCCTACCTGGTCCTATTACCAAGCCACTTCCCTATCCAAACTCTTCCACGCTTCCCGGGGCAAAATCCTAAGTGGGGTTACCTAATGCCTTCAACCTTCTACCATTTTCACTTACACACGAGCCCCCTTTCTAGCTCTGGAGCACGCCCTGTACATTCCCAAGGACTTCATGGTTGTGCCCTCAATCTGGATCTCTCTTCCTTGGATGATTACAAGCCTGGCTTCTCCTCATTCTTCAAGTTTCGATGCAAGTGTCACCTCCTCAGAGAGGCCTTCCCTGGGTAGACCCCTGAGGCTACTTCTTCATTGACTCTATGATACCACCATTTATTTCCTTCAATATCCTTACGTAGAGATTACTCTGCAGAAGTTTATATAAACGGACTTTCTAAAGAATATCTAATGCATGAAGAACTGTCACATTATTAAAAAAGGACAAGTCACAGAAAAATGACTTACAGCACACATACAATTTCAACCTTATTTTTAAAAACATATGCATGGAAAATAATACTGGAAGGCAATACACCAGAGTATAAGCAGCAATTAACTCTGGATGATGGAGCTATTTTTTTCCCCACTCTTTTCCCGTCTGCATTTTTTCCCTAAGTCACAAGATCAATGATAGTCATTTCCTTTGTTCTACTTTGAATATTTCTTATTTTTCTACAAAGAATACATACTGGCCAGGTGCAGTGGCTCATGTCTGTAATCCCAGCACTTTAGGAGGCTGAGGTGGGTGGATCACTTGAGGTCAGGAGTTCAAGACCAGCCTGGCCAACCATGGTGAAACCTCGTCTCCACTAAAAATACAAAAAATTAGCCAGGCATGGTGGTGCATGCCTATAGTCCCAGCTAATCGGGAGGCTGAGACAGGAGAATCACTTGAACCCTGGAGGTGGAGGTTGCAATGAGCCAAAATCACGCCACTGCACTCTAACCTGGGCAACAGAGCAAGACTCTGTCTCAAAAAAAAAAAAGAAAAAAATATACTACTTTTAGAACCTGAAAAAGTGTTATTTTTTACGTTTATACTCTCTATGTATTTAGCATTACAGTAAGACATTTCTTCCATTTGAAGACAGTGTAGTACACTGTCCACTAAGCAACCACTGTGGCTAAAAAATACACAATACTTAAATACAGCAGTATGAATAATCAATTCTCAAGAATGTGGGGAAAATAGTATAGTCAGAATATATAGCAACACTGAACATATTTTCGATCTATTTCTGATGATTCAGAAGCAAGTCAGAATCTTAAATTACTCTGAGATCTTTATTCTGATTAATTATGGCTCTGACTTCACGTAAGAGTTACAGTTAATTTCTAGGCATCTAGGTAAACTGTTAACCTCTAGGAGCCTGTCTCCTTATCTATAAAACGTAAGTTAATATAACTTCCCTCTCATAGTTGTGAGGTTAACTAGATAATGTAGAGGAAAGTGCCTAGCACATTACAGGTACGCAATAACAGATAGGCAAATAACTAATTGCCTCCTTTATTTGAAAAGATACTCAGAGATTTGCACACCCTAAAGTGGGACAGAAATTCCCCCTATTCTTTCAAGTTTCCTTTACTGAATACAAAACAGAAAATAAGCTGGCATAGGGTTTTGAAGATGCCAGGGGGGTATTATATTTCCCATTGGTCTAGAAAGGCCTCACCAGGGAATGTGGGCTTGGAAAAGCACTGCGACCTATCTGAGCTGGAAAACTGCTGGAGAGCAGGACACAGGACATCATTTCATAGAAGATGACCGTACGTATTAGGCGGTTATGTTCTGTCACTGTTTATTTGGAAACAACCAACTAGATTAAGAGTGGCTTGGTTTTGCTAAAGTAAAATGAAAAAGGTTAGCAAAGAAAGTAATAGTGAAATTAAGCGGACACAAAAAGAAGAGGATGAGGCAGAACACTACAGGCCTAAAACATATGCTCATCTTCCTATGAAATTACATCAAATAGAGAATTTCTCAAGGAGTATTAAAGAAAATCATCCACCTAAAACACAATACATACAGTCCCCAACTTATGATGGTTGGACTTGTGATTTTTCAACTTTACAATGGATTTATGAGGTCTTAAATGCATTTTCAACTTAGAATATTTTTGATGAACAGTGGATTTATCAGGATGTAACTCGATCATAAGTCCAGGAGCATCTATCCATAACCACGATTTTATTAGAACCCTCATTTCAAAATAAAAATGTTTTAACTTCAAATATTCATCAATTGTGAGCTGCAATGACCTAATATATCTCATATTTGGTAACAAATGTGAAGATGAAGTATGGATATATTATAGAAAAGGATCTTACTCCTTTTATAGTAATAAATTCAAACAAAGATTTGAAACACTGTAGCAGAGAAATAGGCGAGCAAGGTATATTTCTTATCCTCAAGTAATAGAGTAAATGTTTTAATTTCAAAGACAAATTTATCACTACTTTTTCATTTTTAATCAAAGCACTGAATTTAAACATTCAAGAAAATACCCCAAAAAATCAACATAAGAAACATGCATTTGTTTTATATTTCAGAGTAGAAAAATTCATATTAAAGTACCAGTTACTGAATATAGTAGGCATCATCTAATACAATGTTATATATCCAATTAGTACTTTGCATAGAATTAAATGTGCTCATTTGTTTGAGTTCATTGTCAATTAATAAAATTATTTTAGCCAGTATTTAAAACAGGTACTTCTTTTTTTTCCCCCTTTCCCACCCATATAACAGGTACTTCTGATACATGTAACAACATATAGAGATTTTAGGCATTTTAAAAATAGATTAGAGTCCTACAGAGATGCATGAAAATATGCTGTGCATTATTAGGAAAGGGTTTAGAAAGTAATATGTTAAACCTCAGTTAAATTGGCATGTTCATCCTGCTGTAAACAGTTCTCTGCTGTTACACTGCATAGTTCCTTCTCACTCTGCAATAAAGACTTTACAGACTGGAACACATCTTCACTGAAGCTCTGCAGGGGAAAGAAAACAAAGATACTTTAAATTCATTTAATTCTAAGACAAGGGTAAGAGATCCTGGAGATGTTTCAGATAGTCACTCATTCTCTAACTAATATTCACTGGCACCTTTTGATACTGGATGCAGAACTCAATTCCACTGAGAAGCTCCATTCAGCTGAAAAGGCACAGTTTCACATGCCCAAAAAACATACATACACTAGAGCCTGGGCATTCAACTCACTAGAAGATCACGTGAATCTCACACCAGGTTCACTTACTCTTACGTTACACTAAAACTTAACGAACTACATATCTAATTTCCAAGTCACTGGTAGAATAGAAGCAACAATTTATATGATTGAATGAGATGATGTGGGAGCTGTGGTAAGGTGCACAACAGTGATTACTCCCTTAACAATAGTGATTACTCCGTTAACAAAGCTGGAGACAGAAAAATAAGATAATAACACAAAATAAGGTTTTCCATGGATCTTAAGGAAGCTGTCTGATGAAAATGAGAGGCGATTCCAGATTTCAGGGTGAGATGTCTGTCACAAGTACAAGGAACAGAGGGAGAAAAAGTTATATGAAGAAAATAATGAGTACTATAGTCAGGCATAAATAGGACACTTATTTCCTTTCCTTCTACCTTATGCCCCCTTCCACTGACTTGTCAATCTGCTCTTCTATCAGAAATGTCCTTACTTCCCAGTCGTCCCATGTAGAAATCCTACCCATCCCAAGACCTGTGAAGATTTTCCCATTGTTTAGCCCTAATAAATCTCTCTCAAAGTTCCTGCTGTATGTTGTGCATTAAAATCATTTAATCCACACCAAAACATAATTACTGGCTGGGCGCAGTGGCTCATGTGTGTAATCCCAGCACTTTGGGAAGCTTGAGGCGGGTGGATCACTTGAGGTCAGGAGTTCGAGACCAGCCTGGCCAACATAGTGAAAGCCCATCTCTTCTAAAAATACACAAATTAGCCTGGCATGGTGCCACGTGCTTGTAATCCCAGCTACTCAGAAGGCTGAGGCAGGAGAACTGCTTGAACCTGGGAGGTAGAGGTTGCAGTTAGGTGAGATTGCGCCACTGCACTCCAGCCTGGGTGACAGAGATTACGTCTCAAAAACAAAAAACATAATTACTATATTCAGATTCTTTCCTACCCATTAAAAAAAATTATGGAAGTCACAGACTGTGTTTCACTCACTTTGTTTCCCCATGTTTCAGAACCTCACACTAGATAAACTCAAACAGCTGCTAATCTTAACAAATTAAAATAAATGGAAATCTTTAGTCTAAGAGAAGAGAAAAATATGAACTCAAAAAATTTATGATAAAAAGCTGTGTGCTGTTACATTTGAATCTGACCTGTCATTACAAATTCATAATTCTTTGAATACATGTACTACCTTTTACCATTGAAAAGTCTTACAAACAATGACCTTCAGTAGCAATGAGCATACTCAGCACCCAGCTTTTGGTCTCTAAATATCTATCACCAATAAAAAGAACTAGAGTTCCCTGGGGAAATAGCTGGTTCCAGGTCTGAGGCTGAGAACGTATGAAGCGAGCCTGAAACATCTAACTGAGCCAGAATGCAAGGAAATGCTCAAAGACTAATAGGATCATTTCAAAAAAATACAGAAGCCAGCTTGAAAGAATTGCCACTGGCCAAATATGGGACAACTTGGAATCAAGAATAAAAATGGTAATGAATTATGACTATTGGATTAAAAAAAAATCTGTGAGTCCATTAAAAGAGAAAAAGTCAAAGAGGAGCTCTTCTTTACCTAAAAATGTTGGCTAGTATGGACAAAATGACAGATTTAGAAAACCGCACTTGTAAATTCCCAATGCAATTACTGATTTAGGAAAGGATTATCCACGTATCCTACATCTACTGGGGAAAAGGACACTCATACTGTCTCAGAGGATCACCTTATAGTTTATTAAGTGTATTAATCATAAAGAGATTACGTGCATTTATATTGGAGATATCTGGTGGTTATTATCTTAACCACCTAGTAAAGCCTAACATCAACAGTATGGACTTCAGATCTGATAGACAGGAATGAACACATCATCACCTTTCAGATGTTCTGTTGAACCTAATTACGGGGAAAAACATATGAACCCAAATATGAAAATATTCTACAACACAACTGGCCTAGACTCTTCGGAAGATTTGCTGCATGAAAAAAGAATTTAGACTATTGGAATGGTCTAGAATGGGGAAAACCCAAAACAATACCCAAATACAGTGTGTGAACCTTGACTGCATCCTAGAAGAGAAGCAAGGAGAAAATTACAAGGCTACCTGAGACACAGGGAAATCTGTGTTTGGAATGCATGCTAGATGATGTTACTGAATTAACGATTTTCGAAGAGATGAAGTAAAATAATGTCTGCAGTCTACTCTCATACAATTGCAAAAGGGAAAGAGTGTGTGTGTGTGTGTGTGCGCGCGCGCACGCGCACACACAGAGACAGAGAGAGGGTATGGCAAAATGTTAACCGAGGGTGAATCTGAGTGAAGAATGTATGAGGTGTTCATTCTACTAGGTTTTTTTAACCAACTTTTCTGTGGGCTTGAAAATATTCAATATTTTAAATAATTTTGTTTTCCTTAACGAATGGGGATTTTCACACTAATTTAGAAACAGGAAATCAAAACAGGAAAAAATATGTGAAATCTGAACGTGACCTGTCAATATAAACTCATGACACTGTAAGTGCAAAGGCAACTCTTAGTATCCAGATCTTGGTTTTTAAGTACTATTCAGGGTTCTTTAAAAAAAAAAAAAAGCCAATTTCAGGTCTGAGGAAGGTAAAGTAGGTGAAATTGGGTCGTCCTGTACCAAAAGGATACGACCAGAAAGTGAAAAAGCAATCAAAGTTATGAGCCTGAGACAAAAGGATATAGGCACCTACTCAGAGGGGCTCTCAGGTATCAATTGTGGAACAATTTGAGCAACTTAAATAGATGAATGAATGAATGAATGACTATAAAGAAATAAAAGGTTATAAAAAATCCATGAGTTCAGAGCATTACAAACAAATTAGTGAATGAATGTGGGGAAATAAACTCACTTGCTACCATTGGTGCTAACTACGATGCCCTGTCATTAATCTGAAAACTGGTATTTAAAGGACATTTGACCTGCCTCTATAGGAGATATTATATAGTTCATCTAAGGTGAATGAGGGAAGCTTTTCTTTAAGAATACCAGCTAATAAACATGAAAGGAATGGTAGAATTAGGAAACTCACCATTTTGCAACTCCCATGAAATAATGAATTCAGGAAAGGGTAATCAAGGGATGCCAAAAACATTAGCTCAATATTTGTTGGGAAAAAAAGGATATTTGCACACAGCCAAGTATCATCATAGATTATCTGCTAACCAAAAAACAGAAAATGTACTTTTACAATGAACAATTCTAGCAGGGTTATCACCTTAGTCAACTCATCAATCACAGCATCACTGATCATGGGAAAACCTGAAATTCTGTCCTCACATTACCCTATAAAGTATTCTTGCCATAAATGCTTAATCTGATCCAATTAAACCTTTAAACATAACTTCTACTTTACACGAAATATACAACGGAGAGGATCAAATTAAATAGCAATATGAGAAAACAACCAGACAAATCCAGATGTGGAGCATCGTACAAGAAAACTAGCCTGGCCTATTCAAGATGTCAGAACTGAATATAACGAGGAAAAAAAAAAAAAAAGGAAAAATTCTTTCAAACTAAAAGAAATGCTAAGAGACTAAGAGGCTAAAGAGACTAAGAGACAAAGAGACAAAGAGTCTAAGAGACAAAGAGACTAAGAGGCTAGACTGGATCCAAACAGGCGCGGAGTGAACTATAAAAGATATTTTGGGTGTAACACAGGAAATCTGAGTATGGCTGGGTATTAGATACATGGGAATTTATTTTTCTTGATGTGTTCATGGTATTAGTGTTATGTGGAAAGATGTTGTTATTCCTGGGAGAAGTATGCTGAAGTGTTCAGGCTGAAGAAACATTATGATCATAACTTGCAAATGGTTCTGCCTGAAAGTAAATACACACATACACAGACACAAAGCAAACAAGACAAATTATTAACTACTGTTGAATATGGGTGGTAGGTATGTGGGTTTGTGTGTGTATTATGCTTTTAACTTTCCCAATAAATATTTAATGTATCTCTATATTTAATGCAAATTAAAGTGAAATCTAAAGAATTCAAGTACATCTTTCAATTTCCACAATAGCCAAAAGGGAAGTGTCTGTCATTAAGATGCATCAAGACGTAGAAGGTGGTGTATGTGTGTGCATAACTGTTTATATAAACAGTATGCAATATTTGGATTCACATACTTTTATCTAAAAGGGATTCCAATAATTCAAGTAGAATTCAAATTAAATCTTTACTGACTGCCTACTATGGACAATACGCTGAATAACAAAAGACACTAACCTGGTAATAATATGAAATTTCAGTTGCTGCCTAATCCCTGAATCTCTGGCAACGTATGGGGTAAATATTCAAGTCAGGTACTATCATTCTTGAAGACCATGGTATCAGTTTGCTATTACATTTTGTATATATTATTAGTTATAATTATTAAAGCCAGCAGTATAATCAATTTAAAGCTATGGGTCTAGCTGCTAATCTGAAAAAAGTATAATAAATACACTATAGTTTACAAAGAGTAGAAACAGAAAATAGTTTTTATTGTACTTTTTTCAAATGAAAAAGTGGACCTATTACATTTAAAGGTAATTTACCTCAAAACATATGGAGCATATTACTTAAAAATGTAATTGGCCAGATGCGATGGCTCACGCCTGTAATCCCAGCACTTTGGGAGGCTGAGGCAGGCAGGTCACGAGGTCAGGAGATCGAGACCGTTCTGGCTATCATGGTGAAACCCTGTCTCTACTAAAAATACAAAAAAAGTAGCCGGGCGTGGTGGCAGGTGCCTGTAGTCCCAGCCACTAGGGAGACTGAGGCAGGAGAAAGGCGTGAACCCAGGAGTCGGAGCTTGCAGTTGGCCGAGACCGTGCCACTGCACTCCAGCCTGGGCGACAGAGCGAGACTCTGTCTCAAAAAAAAGAAAAAAAAAAAAAAAGCCAGGCATGGTGGCTCACACCTGTAATCCCAGCACTTTGGGAGGCCGAGGTGGGCGGATCATGAAGTCAGGAGTTCAAGACCACCCTAGCCAATATGGGGAAACCCCATCTCTACTAAAACTACAAAAAAAATTAGCCGGGCATGGTGGCGGGCACCTGTAGTCCCAGCTACTTGGGAGGCTGAGGCAGAAGAATCGCTTGATCCCAGGAGGTGGAGGTTGCAGTGAGCCAAGATCGCGCCATTGCACTCCAGCCTGGGCAACAGAGTGAGACTCCATCTCAAAAAAAAAAAGTAATTAACATACTGTTTAAGGATAAGTTTACTTTCTATTTTGCAGGCATCCTGTAGATTTAGAAGCCACCCTCTTAGAGTTAGTAGTCAAACCTATACATCTTTTAGCTCTCTACGTAAATGAATGACAGGCCCAGAAGCTCATAGCAACACCGATAATTAGAATTTGGAAAGATCAGCAGAGGAGACAAGAGCTACCACAAAAGAGAAGGAAAGCAAGAAAAATACTATAATGAAAGTCAAATATTGTCTTAACGTGTAAGGATTGGTCAATGGTGTCATATAATGCAGAAGATGAAGTCCAGAAAAAGAAATAACAAAGACTGTTAATTATCCTCCAGGCTCCATTTCTTCCTTCTTTGTTTATGGGTAGTGCCTCCAAAGTTTTAGCAAATACAAAAATGTCAAGAACTGGAAGATTAACTAAATTGTTTTAAGAGAGGAAGCGAGGGGGTTCCTCCTTAGACTAGAAGGAAGAAAGGATTAAGAATCATATTTTGTTTGCTTGCTACTGATTACCCAACATCTAACATATGGCCTGGCATAAAAGAACTCAAGTGTATATTTGCTGAATGAATGAATGAATGAATGGTAAAGCTAAAGGTATATAAGAAAGCTTACACCTGACAGCCTATATTGCAAAAAAGCAGATGGGTATCTGTGTATAGAGAAAAAATGGGGAGAAAGCACTGGGATCTTTAGGAAATAAAATCACTGTAATCATGATTTTGTATCAATATTTTCACACATGCCAATCTTTGCAGTAGTTGAATGTTACTAATTCAAATAATAAGATCCATTTAAACAAAACATCACAGCTGTAGGACATAAAAAAAATCAACATTTTAATTAAAACTTTTACTAAAAGAAACCTAAAAGAGTGAACTTACTTTTCTGATAGATGCTTTAGTCTTCATGTGATTGTTTCTGAAAGTCGCCATAACTATTTTTTGTCGTATATAATCAATGAAGAGTTAATCCACAAAACACCTAAAGAAAACATATTAAAACAACTTATTTATTGATCTTAACAATTCAGGCAAGTATTTTGTGCTAAATTAATTTCTTTTAACTCAATCATTAAAAGAAAAATAAAAATGAAAACAAAAATAATCTGAGCCCCCCCAATTTACTTGTAATCCAGCAACAATATTTGAAAAATATATGAATATTGGTATCTTAATGAGATAGAAAATTATTTTAAAAATCTTATATTTTGATTCAAAATTATAAAAGAGTCTACACCCTTATCTATTCAATCTCACTGCCCTTTTTTATTGCAAAGCATCAAAGAGAAAGATTTGAAAAACAAGTTTTTTAAAAAACATTTTAAAACTAAAAGCTTAAGTAGAGAATATCACAAAAAGAATTAAAACTTCCCTGCCTCCCAAAAGTCACTCTTATCTCTATGGCAACAGCGAATGCTCTTGACATTCTTATTTCTTGAGCAGAAAGGTTTGATAATACACAAATGAGAAATCTGCACATATCAAATTAGATAAACAAATTCTTTATATAGGAAGCTTAAAAGCGTATCATTGACAAAATTTCAGACATCCAAGTCGAATGATTAGTAGTATCTGACACACACACACCTGCCAGGTGAAACACTCAAAATAAAGTCTCAACTTTTTAAAGATGCTTTAATATCTTTGAGAACTTAAATCCACTCCAGGCATTAACCATTCAATATCTGCATTTGACCACAGTATCTTGTCCATTCATTTAAAATCTACTTGTGCTAGATGCTATGGATACAAGAGAAACAAGATAGATATGGCCCTCCTGTATTCAAATCCTTCAAAGTAAAGAGTAGAAGTGGAGAACTAAATACTTTTTTTAAAAAATCAAATAAATAAAGATTTAAGAAATTCTTAGTTTCAAGTAGTTTCAGAATATCAATCTGGTCTTATCAAGAATTGCCCAGTTGAAGCCGGGCACAGTGGTGCATGCCTGTAGTCTCAGCTACTCGAGAGGCTGATGTGGGAGGACTGCTTGAGCCCAGGAATTCAAGGCCAGTCTAGGCAATATAGTAAGACCCAGTTTCTGAAAAAAATAAAAAACAAAAAAATGAATTGCTTAGCTGAGGTTTCCAAGACATTTGGTTAACATAAATTTATACTATGAGGAGATTTATATGCAAAAACAAACTTCAAGGTAGCCCCCACCGTCAGAACTTTTAAAAAACGATATTTTAGTCAAGTTCAAATTGCATATTCTTTTGCTATGCAGATAAGACTACAGCGTGAGTGCACAAACACGCACACTTTAGAGATTTCTACATTTTAATTTTTAGACAAAGAAATACAATGGTATTCTATTATGAACTAAGATTAAGCCCTAGTGGTCTCTATAACAATAAAATCTGATTACTAAAATTGAAGCAGCATCATGAGAAAGGCTTAGCCTAACACAAGGTGTTCCCATCAGCACAAGGTAAAGAAATGGTGATACCCCAGAATCCAGAAGAGGATCATGCGTGTTCCTGTGCTGCCTCTTATTAGCTTTGTTTCCTCCGGGTCAACTGCAATGTCTCTGGAACTTTTTCCTCAATGTATACGATACCATATTTACCAGACAAGTTTACTGTGAGAACCAAATGAAAAATAATTTATGGGAGGTACTCTGAAAACTACAAAACACAGGCAAAAGAAGACTTAAATATTTACCTATGGACCAAAATGATCAAGTGGACCAAAAATTATCAAAACAAGGCTTAAGTATAAAAATGTATAGTAGCCAAAGCAAAAAGATAATCCTTTTATTTGTCCCAGTCCACCTCACTCTCCTTTCTCCTCTACAGTGTCCTCCTCAACTGCCAGAAAACTTCAGAGGCAAATGGGCTTTTCTCAAATGTAACATAAAACATAGAAGCCAGCATAAGGGTTCCAAGAAACCAGAGACTGTCAAAGTCGGCTCCTAAGTAAAGTGGCACCTGCAGGGAGGTTTTGTAATGCGTGTCAAAACCCTGGAAATACTTCTTTGACACAGCATTTCTGCTTTTGGGAATGCATCAAAGCAAATAATGATCCTAGAGCACCCAGCTTATTAACAAGGGCTCATAAGGAACCAAGTGCTCTGTTTTGCTAGGAGATTTATGTAAACATCTCATGTTGTCCTTAAGACTACAGAATAGGACCCCAGTTGGACAATGAGAAACACTGAGGCAAGAGGAAGCTTATCAATTTGCCCAGGCCCACACAGTAAATAAATGGCAGAGGTGGGATTCAAGTTCAAATTTTCTAACTCCGGCACTGGGGCTCTTCACCGCTCCTCTACAGTGCATAAAGGTTTTATAGTCTGGTTCATTACAACTCACAATAGAAGTAAGAAGCAATCTAGATGCCAGAAACAAAAGAGTAATTAAACGATCTTAAGTTCATTCCCACAATGACGCCATGGCAGCCATTAAAAACAATTCTGCAGGACAAAGGAATGGCACGCCTTACATCACTTTCTCTGAGTCTGCTCCTAACCTTGCCTGAAAGGGAAGTAGGGAAAAGAGACAGGAAACAACAATTACCTTGGCAGCTGCTGACTAAAGTCAACTGAGCAAAGATAAACATTAACTCCCAGGAGACTTCACCATCAAATAAATGAGACCAACTATCTAAATGAGCTGCTCACCCTCAGGTGCAACAAGCACCTAAGGTAGAAGAAGCAGTTTCAAAGTGGGGCAGGGAGATGGGGGAGCGCTCTGAAACAACACCTGGGATTTGACAGGGCTGGCTACCCCAGTTCACTTTACCCACAATTTTCTTGCATGGCAGATTCAGATAAAACACCCTTACTCAAGATTGAATAATAAAGCAAATGGAGTTCAGTATGGGATCTGTGAAGAAACACTGAAATACAAACAACACATAATATACACAAAAAGAAAAAATCCAGAGAAATATAATCATGCCCCTGCAACTCACATTATCTGAGAATTCAAATCATTGTTTGAAATTAATGAAAGAGAAACAGTTCAATTCTCTATTTACACTCTGTTTCACTCATGGAAGAAAAGCAGCTTCCTGCCCTACTCCACCACTTTTTCACTGAAACATAAGTAAAATATTGTCTCAGGAAGAAAGAAATCTATTAGACAATATCTGTGCAACATAAAAGTGAATCCAATATGAGATGATATGACATACTTCTGTAAAGCAAAGAAAAAAATCACCTTTGGAAATGATGCTAAGATTGATGGGAGAAGAAAGGATAATAGCTAGAGCAGGATTTCTTCAGCATCTTGTATAATTAGAGAGCACATCGTTTTTGACAGATTTCACACGAAAAACAAAAATACAGTATTTTCCCCTAAAATACATTTGTATTATGTTAAACTTTTCATTTAATGCTTTACTGCTTTGTGCCCTATTCTGGATAAAGAAACAAGAGTCCTAAGCAAAGAATAACTAAATGTGTTATTTATAGTCAAAGAAATTAACTGAACCTACATGGCTTGGAAAAAAGCAGATGAGAGACAAGAAACAGGCAGACAAGGCAAACAACTACAAAGTGAGACACTATAGCTCAGGAAACACACAGAAAACTACCACTAAACAAAAGAAATTCCCTCAGAAATAACGAAAAAGCAGAATGGACATTGCTAAAAACAATGGAAAACCAAGAAGATTTTAAGAAAAATCACAGAATGCAAAAGTAAACAAATGAAAGCAATGAGAGAAACGATTATAAAGAATACAGAGAACACAGATATAGAGTACTTTAAATAAATACACATATCCTTTGGTCCTGCTATTTCACTTCTTAAAATTTATCCTACACATACACTTGCACGAAATTCACTAAGATACGTGAAAGACTACTCACTGAAATAAAATGAAAAAACTGAAAATAACCAACAAGTTCATCAACTAAAATAAATTCACATGACTATTACTCAGCAATTGGAAATAATGAGTTAGAGTGAGCCATACTGGTGTGAAAGAGCAAGCTGCAGAATGGTGTAAATAGTATGCTCTCACTTGTAACTTAAAAAAAAAAAAAAGCTGGCCTAGCACAGTGGCTCCCAGCACTCTGGGAGGCCAAGGCAGGAAGATCACTTGAGGCCGGGAGTTCAAGACCAGCCTGGGCAACATGGCAAAACCCCAACTCTACTAAAAATACAAAAATTAGCTGGGTGTGGTGGTATATGCCTATAATCCCCGCCACTCGGGAGGCTGAGGCACAAGAATTGCTTGAACCCAGGAGGCAAAGGTTGCAGTGAGCCAAGATTGTGCCACTGTACTCCAGCCTGGGCCACAGAGCAAGACTCCGTCTCAAAAAAAAAAAAGAAAGAAAAAGAAAAGAAAAAATTATATACAGACGCAACTCTGACACATATACGTATTTGTGCATCCATAGGAAATGACTTGAAGGAGGTACACTAAACTGATGCCAGTGGTCACCCATGACAAGTGGGACTTACATTTTATAACATGTCATCTATCTACAATATGAGAAGACAGTAGATAAGTAAAATAAGACAGGTTCTGTCATATTAGCATTATCCCATTGTGTGAAAAATCTGCATAACTACATGTGTGTATCTATACGTGTAATATAAAAGAAGACATACACTAGACAGGTACAGACAATGGTTTTATCTGGGTAGATACAATCGTGGGTATTTCATTTTGTGTCTATGTATGTTGAGTTTTATACTTCTCTGAATGAACATAAATTCTTTTATAATTAAAAAATATATATTCTCCAAGTCTTTCCTTATCTCCTCTGACCTAAGAAATGTTCAAATTGACATCACCTATTACTTGACCTTTTTTGTATCAGGAGAGTTAACCATGCCAGAGTCTGTGAAACGCCTATCAACAATATTGCCATATCTTGACTCTCCTCCTACTGCACTAGTTCTCAAACCTCAGTACATATACACATCAGCTTATTTCTAACACACACAACTCCCTCACCAGAAAATCCAAATTCAATAGGTCTACATGGAACACAGGAATCTGTAATTTTAACAAGTGCCACATGTAATTTCTGGTTGAGAAAAACTTGTCTCTTTCTACATAAATTTCCTTTCCTAAAGTATTTTATAACTTGTTACTCAAATACTAATATTTCCTAGTCTTCATCCGTATCCTCTTGTCTCATTTTATTTAGTTTTTCAAGGACATTCTATCCTTACCTCTGGTTTTAACTATGCAAACAACCCCCTAATTTATTCTTCAGTTCTGTATATCTAATTTCCTATTAGAGACTTCCAACTAAATATCCCAGTTACTCCAAAATTTGTATGTTCAAAAGGTAAATAACACTTTCTCCCTTAACGATCTCCTCCTGTATTCTCTATGTCAGTAAGAGCCATTAAACAAAACCCAACCAGTAGGCCAAGCTGGATACTAGTCTTCCCCTCTATTCCTACAGACTACCACATCTAGTACCTTGCCAAATCCTGACCTGTCATTCTCCTAAACTTCTCTCAAATCTACCCTCTCTCTTGCATCAGCTGAACTGCTACTTACTACTCACGCATCAGTTCAAGAACTTCCCTCCCTAAAATAGGCTTGGCTCATATCTCTCCTTTATCCCTCCTTGCCCAAACAGTAGCCATCTCCTTAGTGCTGCCTAAGTGGTTTACCATTTAATCCTCTGGTGCCTCTGATTGCATACTTCCCTCCTGTTGTAAGGTCCCTGAGGACAAAAGTGTTTTATGTATTTGTATTTTTACATAGTAGGCATTCAAAAATCTGCTGAACTAATAAATAAAAAGTAACCTATTTAAAGAACGAAGTTCAAAGCATGATGTAGGCTGAAAAACATAAAACAGAATAAAGAGCAAAGTATGCCTTTAAATATTTAAATGAATATGTCTACATTTAATGAGTCTGTGAAAACACATTTGTGTTTCCACTAATTTCTTTTTTTTTTTTTTTTTTAATTTATTATTATTAAACTTCAAGTTGTAGGGTACATGTGCACAACGTGCAGGTTTGCTACATATGTATACTT